GAAAACGCCATCTTTGCGGTGAAGGCAGCTTGCGCCCTTCACAATTTTGTGCGTTGCAGAGATGGGTTTAATTTTGACGATTCATTGGCGCATTGCATGGAGAGTAGACATTGCAGCGCCAGGCGTGGAACAACGAATGGTGGCAGCATTTGTGACGAATTTGCTGCATAATTCATGTCACCTGAGGGGGAGATGTCATGGCAGATACAAGCGATTCAGTCTTGATTCCCCTCCAAAAATTAAACATCATTTTCCCTTGATCTGATACCAATAAATTATATTTGAATTGAAAACAGACTTGAGTATTGTTTTTTATAAATAGCTGCACGCAAGTCACATGCAAACACTTCACGCAAGTCAAATGTAAACAATGCATGCACTTCACATTAACACACTTCATGCACGCATGTAACATGTAAAGACTACACGCATCTGACATTAAAACACTGCACACATGTCACATAAAAGCACTGCACGCATGTCACATAAAAATACTGCACGCATGTCACATAAAAGCACTGCACGCATGTCACATTAAAACACTGCACGCATGTGACATAAAAATACTGCACACATCTGACATAAAAACACTGCACGCATGTCACATTAAAACACTGCACGCTTGTAACATTAAAACACTGCACGCATGTCACATAAAAGCACTGCACGGCAGTGCACGCATGTCACATAAAAATACTGCATGCATGTCACATAAAAGCACTGCACGCATGTCACATTAAAACACGGCACGCATGTGAGATAAAAATACTGCACGCATCTGACATAAAAACACTGCACACATGTCACATTAAAACACTGCACGCATGTGACATAAAAATACTGCACGCATGTGACATAACAATACTGCATGCATGTCACTTAAAAGCACTGCATGCATGTGACATAAAAATTAGGGATGCACAGATACTTTTCGAGTACCAGTGCCGATACTTGGCATTTTCATGAGAACTACCAGGGTTGCAGCGGTTGCAGCTGGGACCTGGCTCTGGCGCTCCACCACTGTCCTGAAATCATTAGTCTGTATTGTTTTAGAAAAACTGTCACATGACACTAAACAAAAATGTATCAGTACTCGTACTTGTAAGTACTCGGCAAGTACCAGTACTCGTACTCGCAAAACTGGTATCTGTGCATCACTTTATTTATATTTATAAAAACAAAATCCTACATTAAAACAGAGATGTACAAATCCCAGGAGCTCCGTGTGCTCCTTACAAATGACAGCTGCCTCCTAATTTTTCTCTAGTGTAGTCTTGGAGCTCAAAAGTATCGGTACATGTACTCGTACATGTACCGATTACTGTACTTGGTATCGGTGCAATCCTAATACAAATACTGCACGCATCTGACATAAAAACACTGCACGCATGTCACATTAACACACTGCACGCATGTGACATAAAAATACTGCACGCGTGTGACATAACAATACTGCACGCATCTGACATAAAAACACTGCACGCATGTGACATAAAAATACTGCACGCGTGTGACATAACAATACTGCACGCATCTGACATAAAAACACTGCACGCATGTCACATTAAAACAGTGCATGCATTCTGCATGAAAACATAGCACACATGCACGCATGTTACACGGAAATACTGAACGCAAGTCATATGCAAACAATGCATGCATGTCACATTAAAACAGTGCATGCATTCTGCAAGAAAATATTCAACACATAAAAACATTGCTGACATGTACCTTTTTGCTTCTTTAACTTGTTTGGAGAAGGTTTCCCAATGAGGCCACGTTGCTTCTCCAATCTCTTGCCATGCACGTTGCCTGATTCTCCTATTCTTGTAATTGGCATGTCTCATGTCAAAGAGACATGGTCTCGCCTGCACCAGGCGTATGAATGCCTCAGATTCCAGCAGGCCACATGCTATAGAATCCTCCATCTTTTTCTGCTTCTTGCTCACCCAAAAACTTCTGCAGATGGGAGTGGTCTGTAGCCATGTGCGGAACGCGCGTTCTGCGCGTGATTTCTGCTACGAAAACGCCCAAATACTAATTTCAGCCTGTTCCCGTCGAAGTCTATGGGCGCGAACACGCTACAAAATGGCCCAATTCGCCGCAAAGAAGCTCCTGTACCTTTTCAGGCGTAGGCCGTTTCCTCCTCGCTGTGTAGCCTGTCATGGACAGAGTGCTGCCTTTTAATTACAAGCGGTGCTGCATACAGCTTTTTGACAGTGTAAAGCACGCCGCTACTGGACTCTAGAAGAGAGGAGACGTGTTCTCTGGAGGGACGAATCACGCTTCTGTCTAGCAACCCGATGGGCGTGTCTGGGTTTGGCGGTTGCAAGGAGAACGGTACTTGCCTGACTGCATTGTGCCAAGTGTAAAGTTTGGTGGAGGGGGGATTTTACAGTAAAGGGGAGGCTGGGCGGAGAAGCAGGTGAAAAGATCCAAAAGGAAATCTGAAAATAATCCAGAGGTGAGTCCAGCTGGTAGTTCTGAGGTAACTGCTGACACTGCCCAGTGACAGGAGTGACTATAAAGGGGTGAAGGGAACTCTTAAGGCAGTGGCGTAACAATCACCATAGGCGGTCGCTATGCGGCCCAGGGCACAGTGGGGCCCGGCCAGATGCCGTGCGGGCAGCCTGGGATCTTCTGCTGCTGGCTTTCACTGGCGTCTGAAGACGAATGAACAGGCAGCTTGCAACCTGAAATACAAAGCAGAAAACCCAGCAAAGCAGTCCCAGAGAGACATGTACTTAACAGTTACCCCACACCTCTGTTTCAATATAAATAGTTTTAAAAAGCACATGAGTGATAGTGGGGGCCACAATCCCATGGGGCCAGGGCCGTAGATACATTTTTTTCCTGGGGGGGGGTTCAGCTTCCTCAAATTATAAGATATTATCTAGCAGACACACCAAGGTTTGAAACAAATATACCGGCCATATCATTCCTAAACCAATCCTTTACCCTGAGCAATACCGATTTTGTTGTTCAACACCATATGGATAAAAAACATGTTTTCAAAAGACTTATAATTGGTAAAAAATTCACACAAACCGCTTAGTATACACTTATTGGGATTTTTTTTAACCAAAAATATTTAGCAGAATACATTTTGGCCTAATTTTAGGAAGAAATTTTATTTTATAGACGTCATCGGCAGTGGAGGAGGAGGGGGGCCTGTGCTCGGCAGCAGGGGAAGAGGCGGCCTCGGCGACGGAGGAGGTAAGGAGTGCGACCAGCCCACCTGAGGGTGATGCTGCAGAGCCCACCATAGAAAGTCTATGGTGGGCTCTGCAGGGTCACCTTCAGGTGGGATCTTGAGTGGGCTCTGCAAGGGGTATAACTAGAAATCACGGGGCCCCATACAACATTTTGCTATGGGGCCCTGTGATTTCTAGTTATGCCCCTGTCTTAAGGCATCAGCATACCAAGACATTTTGGACAATTTCATGCTCCCAACTTTGTGGGAACAATTTGGGGATGGCCACTTCCTGTTCAAACATTACTGTGCACCGGTTCACAAAGCAAAGTCCATAAAGACATGGATGAGCGAGTTTGGGGTGGAGGAACTTGACTGGCCTCTGCAGAGTCCTGACCTCAACCCAATAGAACACCTTTGGGATGAATTAGAGCGGAGTCTATGAGCCAGGCCTTCTCGTCCAACATCAGTACCTGACCTCACAAATGCGCTTCTGGTTAAAAACTTTTTTTTTTTTAATTTAATTTGACTGCTATCACATGCCCCCCCATGTGATAGCAGATGGTGGTGACAGGTACTCAGGTACTCTTTAAGGTGATGCTGGGGGTCCAAAAGACCCTCAGTGTCACCTTTACACTGGAAATAAGCTATTGAAGTGCAGATCACTTCAATAGCTTATAGCTGGGCTCCAGGAGCCCAGAACTGACAGCCCAGGGACCGGAAGTGATGCAATCTGCATCGCTCCCGGTCCCATAGAACGGGGAGGGGATCGATGAACGGAAGTTCGTCGACCTCCTCCCCAGCTCCCAGCGGACACCAAGATCGCCGGTCCCGGGCCCGTAGGAGGGGCAACGGAGCCCGGCCCCTTCTTCGGGACGCAGAAGCGATCTGGCGACAGGTAAGTCGCCAGGATCGCTTCTGTTGTAAAGCCGACAGTCGGCTCTACAAGTTTAAACAGAGTTCCGGCGGCAAAAGTCACCGGGAGTCTGTTTAAACAGCCCAGATGCTGGCGACGTACACTGTACGTCGTCAGTCACGAAGGGGTTAAAGTTCATGTGCGTGTAAAGGCAGGCGTCCCAATACTTTTGGCAATATAGTGTAGTCACAAACTTTGATAGAACACCGGCACCAGCGCGGGAAGGATTGCTATATACAAGTGGAAGAAGCTGGTCAGATTAAGAGGCATTATTTAAGGTAAGTCCTTAAATGTCACTTTAACTGCAGAAAGTGTTATATTACACTGAGCTATTCATCCAACATCTAAATCATTGCATTTGTTACTTTGAAAATCCAGTATAAAGGAAGAGTATTGGTGAAAAAAGTACTGACGAAAAAAAAAAAAATGGAAGGTGGGAATTTTTAGCAGAAGAGACATGCAACATAACCCAAAAGAGGTTTAGGAACTATACATCTCCCTTTTCATTATTTCCAACATTCTGGACTGGGCAGATTGTGTACCCCGTCCCTACCGTCCCGCGCACATTGGAGGAGGTCACGTGGGCTCTGTCCGCTCACATGATTGTGATATCATTTCCTCCTTCATCCCGCCCTGTCCTGGAACCCATATCGGCTGAGTTAGCGATCCCCTTTTCAAAGTGTTTAGTCAGCACGGAGCCCGGGCTGTAGAAGCAGTGAGGGATACATATATTTCTTGTAAGGCACGCCCCCTGAGGGTGATCACCTGATCTTATTCTTTGGCCCCGGGCACCAGTCCTCGCGGTATTATAGACAGAAAAGCGCGGCCGCCATTTTGTTTGCCTCGCAGTGCGTGCGAGGAGACCGCGCCTCTAGTATCGGTTTTTCTTCCTCTCCGAATTCATAGTTATGAAGGACACCCTGAAGATTTTTATCGGTAACGTGGACGACCGCACTACGCAAGAGGAGCTAAACGACTTGTTCCAGAAGTTCGGCCCGGTGGTAAGCTGCGCCGTCATGAAGCAGTACGCATTCGTCCACATGCGGGGTGCTGACCGGGCCAAGAAGGCCATCGAAGAGCTGAACGGTCGGGAGCTGCACGGGAAGAGGATGGTGGTGGAGCTGTCCAAGCCTAGGCCTCAGAACACATGGAAGATCTTCGTGGGCAATGTCAGCGCTGCCTGCGACGCGTCCGAACTCCGTTCCTTGTTCGAGGCCTACGGCAGGGTGGTGGAGTGTGATGTGGTGAAAGGTAATGGCGGAGGAGGGAGCTACTTAGGTCGGCGTCATGCAGGGATTGAGGGCAAAATGGCGGCCTTTGTGACCATCGTCGTCAGCCGAGAAATTGCGTACTGGTAATGGATCAGGCTCGTTTGTTTAAATCTGGCGGGCTACTTTTTCTTTGATCTATTACATTATTACTCCGGGTTTCGGAAGCCATTCGTGTGCTTACTCATCTTCACAGACCCCGTTTCATAATTTCGTTTCTGTTTTCAGGCTTTAAAATGTTCACGTAGTTCTGCTAGCTAGTACTAAACAAAATCTATTTAATGCTGAACTTTGGCCAGAGGTAATATTTGGACACGTTACATACACGAGTACTATTGAGAGGTGGGCTGCAGGGTTCCGTAACTTTCTTTCATCCACCCTGACTAGTAAGCATGGAATGTCTGGCTGGAATACACAGATGATAATGGGTTCCTTGCTGTACAGCGTTTTTAAGAAAATGTTTAATTCCTTCCATAGAATGAGGTGTGGATGCATGGTACAATCTCACCCCTTCCAATCACAGAACACCTTACGTTCTATGGAATGAAATCCTCTCTTTAATGAAGCTGCAGAGTTAGCTACCCGCTATCATCTGTGTACTCCAGGTGCAAGTGAGTCCTAGCAGATACTATACTGTACAAAGTGAATAAATGTAAGGCCCCTGTATATGGACAGCAGACTCTGCTGCCCCTCTGAAATGAAATTAGCATTCACACCAGGGCGGATGCATTTCAGTGTGAATTTTAAGAGGGTGTTTTTAAGCACGTTTCAGCGCTGAAATGCAATTAAAAACCGTGCTGATCACTACGTTTCCATCAAACTCTATATGGAACACATGCTGATCATTTTGAAAAATAGCAATAGGGATGTATCCGGTTTTTCATGTTGCCGGTCCAGCGCTGACGAATCTGCGTGACTGAACCGCCATGGTGAGAACAGGGCCTTAAGAGGGTTTGCAGGCTTTAAAGTGACACTAAACGTAAGAATTACATCTTAATAATGCTTCACTATTAACATAAATTTATTTTATTATTGTATCACTCTGTAGATCATCAGATCTGAATCCATGCTGACACTGTCCTTCCTTCTGGATGATGGATTCTTTTGTTCCCCCTGGTCCCTGGTGTGTTGTAAAGTAGCCACCACTCACTCCTGTGATGGACTATAATCTCATGTTTAGTTTACTAATTTGTGTAAAGATTGTAGGCAATCACGGGAATGAGCATGGAGCTGTTGCTGCTTTACAACACACACACGTAGCCACCCTCCAAAAGGAAGGCCAGTGTCGGCATGAATTCAAAAATGATTTGAGGATCTACAGAGTGATGCACAAGCTACTTGTTTTTAATAGTTAAGTACTTGAATGCTTTTTTAAAATTTAACTCCAGAGTTTAGTGTCGCTGTAAGGAAGAGATGCTGCAACCCCTCAAGTTATTATTTTTCCCACATGTATCCCACAGTGGATTTTACATTGAAGAAACGCACTGCAGTTTGGTGCGGTCCCGTTTAGTTAAATTGGCTGGCTGGCAAAATTGCCGGACTGCAAAATATCACAGCCACTGCGATGTGTACAGTCCTGAATGGCCTACGCGTCACATTTTAGGGGGCTGGTCAGTGGCCGTTAACATCTCGGATGAGCCATCTGTTTTTAATGCCTCCGGTCAACACTGAATTCAGCCTTTGTATAGAACGCTGCAATTCCACGCAGGCACACAAATTTAGTGTTCAATATTGTTTTGATATGAGTTCTGCTTTAATAACTGTTCTTTTTACAAACCCAAAGTGCCAAGACCATTCAATTGGTGGAGTGTCACGCTAAGGCCCCATTCACACTGAGCGATTTTTGCAGCGATATCGCACATATTTCCACGCTCTATCGCGATAGCTGTTCACATCTCGTCGCTCAATATCGCTTGTAGCTCGTCGCTGGTAGCTTGTCGCTCCTACATGACCCTTTTTTCGAGCGATATTGCATACAGCCCAATAGGAAAAAGTCGCTCGACAAGTCGGTCAATATCGCTCGTCGCGCAATATCGCTCAGTCGCACGATTTTCATGTTGCTCAGTGTGAATGGGGCCTTAAACCTGCACTACATCAGAGGTGATCTTTGCAGGTTCTTAAAAGTGGATATTTCATGGTTCTTCTAATTATATCCTATGTTGCCATTTCTGTACAAATCCTATTTATATTGATGCCGAATAGTACATGGACTCTTGTCCATGGACTCTCTTCTATCAGCACTGTGGGTCTCCTACCGTGATAGTATCCTGTTGTAGTTCACGCTCCCTTTTGTCTCCCCTCGCAAAGCACTCTGTGATTGGGTGAGGAAGGGGGTGGGTAAACCACCGGATCCCTTCAATGTAGGAGAGCCACTGTACTGGATGAAAAGCACTGTGTAGTAATTGGTGTCAATGAAGCTATGATTTCTTTAATAAATGGCAGCAATCTAGACCTAGGATTCTCATCATTAGAGAACTTGTTTGACCTGCGGTGTTTAAAAAAAAAAAAAGCCCTGTTAACGCCCAATTGAACCCTTTTTATTACTGTTCAGTGGGGCGTGTTGAACCCTGTGAGAGGCACAGCCTGACTCTTATCTGCCTACATGTTTACTACAATGAAGTCAGAAAAGGTGCTAGTAAATCTGGTATCCCTATAAAAGTTCCTGTGCATGGACGTTTGTGTTCATGTCACTACCTGTATCTATTGGCCTGCCTCATACATTACAAAGACAAGTATTCAAGAACATTGAATTCTGCTTTGTATGCCCTAATTTAGTCACTTATCTATACCCCAAATTCTCTGCTTGAAAGGCCTAGTGAGAATGATTGGATCTGCAGTCTTTGTGTCTGTGATTTCACCAGATTTCTCAGTGTAACACCTTTTTATGAAGTGTTTTTTATAGTAGTTTGAAAGTACTGGGAATTGTTTGAACAGAAATATTCATTTAGAGTACTGCGGGAGTTTGAGGGAAGTGTAATTTATATCCATGTTTCTTGCGTCACCAATTACTGCTTGATGCATGGCATCTAGTTGCCCTTTATAGCTTGCCATATCTTGATGGGTGGTTTTTTTTGTTCAGCTTGAATAGTAGAATCTCTTGCAGGGATTGCCGTTGTCGGAATTCTACACAGTAACTGCAGCTGCTTGGCTGCATTCACTGTTTGGCTGACTATTTTCGGTCAGGCTACTTCTACAAAAGTTGATTATAAAATCATCAATTGTCAAATGGAATGGTGCTGGCAGCACTCTGTTTGAATGTGAGGAGTGTATGGCCAGCTTAGTGCATCTCCACTTTCGCAGCCAAATTGGGATAACACCTATTTTATATTTGCTACATGTTCCCATTTACATAGCATAGCTAAAGAAAAAAAAAAGCTTCTTGCAGTTTAAATAGCTTTGACTTGGGTTAGGATTTTAGGGCTTGTTCACACCATGTCCAGACCAGAACAGTTTGTTCCTGGAACAAAAAAGCATCCCTATGTTATTTCTTTGGCTCTGTTCACACCAGTGCAGTTCGTTCCAGACCAGGCAACAAAAAAATACTGCTTGTCTTGTTTTCTCTGGTCTGGAATGCACTGAAATGCATTAAAAAAATGCATGCAAACGTACTGGACCGCACCACAAAGCCCATTTTAAGCTTAAAAAAACCGCCAGAATGCAGCAAAATCAGTTTATGGGATCTGGTCCGGAAAATGGTGTGAACCTGGCCTTAAGGGTTAAAACATTTTCTAGCTTTTTCTTTTAAATGGTTTCAATGGACAATGCCCCCTCACCCATCATAGCCCCTCCTAAGGTGCAGGGGTGTGGAATTCCTGACGCCCGGCACATGCAGTGTCAGGCGGGTAGTTTCTTTCTACATTTAGCCCTGCTGCAGCAGGGCTAAATGTAGAGAAGGAACCGTTTTGTAAAAATAATCTCGAGCGGCTGTACAGCCACTCAAGATCACTTGAAAGCAGCCCGATTGCTCCCCGGGCGCAATCTGTCACCGCCAGCTGGCGCTCTCCCCGCCAGGGTCTTCTGGGGGACCAAGGCAAATTAGATCAGATTGGAGAACGTCTGCTCCATGTAAACAGTGAGTGCTGCACTTGAAGCCTTCCCATCTCAGCTGTCACAAGAGTTCCTGCGCTGTGCTAGAACTCATGCATTGGAGTTGACAGGTTCAAAGAGTACCAGTCACCTCAAAATGCTATCACACATTAGCGAAGTGTGAAAAAAGTAAAAAATAAAATAAATGACAAGTGATAAAATAAAAATTAAAGTAAAATATATATAAATAAGAAATTTTAAAAAAGTGATAAAATAAAGATAATATGATTTCGCATTTCAAAAATTTAAAACCAACCCCACTGTCCCCTCCATCTGCATGCAAATAAACTCACGTGTAGGGCATTGTGTGTGTACGCTGAGTGCTGCCCCCATTCCACTGTGTGCCATATTCTGGTAGCCGCTCTCTAACATGCACAATTAAAGGGTAAGTTCACTTTCCCAAGTAATTTGGGATAATGGAATTACCCGCTCAAGTCTGGCCAACTCTTCCTACTACGGGTGCGCTATCTGTACCCTAAACTGCCATCCAGTGCTGCTCTGTGCCATGTATTCTGAATTTTGGTTGCAAATTAGCACTGTTAAGTACAGTTTTGATTAAGATTATTTTTTGTATCCCAAGGGACAAGTAGATTGGGCCCCCCACTTTAGTCCTTGGAGAAGTAGTGTTTTTTAAATATCCACACCCCTGAAGTGGTTTGCTCATTGTATGTTAATGAAACTTATCAGATAAATGCAATCCTCAAATTTCAGTCCCAAGACTTTCCATTGGGACAGATCACTGAAAGGGCTAACAAAAGCCTGTGATCAGCCATCTTGCCTGATTTTGACAAAACATCTAAAAGGTAAGGATGTTTTTTAAAGTTATTTTTCATACGCTTTATGAATAGGAACACATAACAAACATATGGAGGAGTTTTATTAAATTTGACTGCAAAAGTGGAAATACACTTTAAGTCACTAGTTTTTGATATGGTTTGTAAGTGCTTACTAATTGTGCTTACTAAAATGAATTTTTAGGCATGCTGGTAAAGAAATAAAGAACATCCTTTCGTATTGGCTTTATTCTGTAAAAAACGCCTTACAGAAATGACGACCTGGTTTTTGGAACACTTGTCAGGTGAATTGCTATTGAAACTCAGGGAAATTGTAACAGAAAAGAATTGTTGAATTACACATACTTGCAGAACTCCAGGCATGTCAAAATTAACCTTTGCAGTTGAGCTGCCCCCGCTCTGCAAGGGTAGGCTCTGTTCACAGCTAGGCGTATCGAATATGCGCGTTTCGTGACGCGCGTTTTTACGGCGATTTATGGTTAAAAAAACGGGTGACAAATGCGCGTTTCCGAGGGCTGCTTGGCTGTATCCCAATGGGAACGCGCAACAAAAACGCAGCAAAGAAGCTCGTGTACCTTTTCAGGCGTAGGCTGTTTTGTAGCGCGTTCAGACGGGCTGAAATATGGCAAGGTGTGAACCATACCCATAGAAAACAATGGGATTTTCATGTTTGAGCGTTTTGTAGAGCGTTCGTAGAGCGTTGAACCCGCTACAAAACGTACAGGTGTGAACCAGGCCCAAGTGCTACTTTTGGTCTAATTTAAAGATGCCCTTACCTGATTCTGTCGTATGGTGGTGACCTCTCACCTTGGATTAATTTGCTTTATAAAGCATTTGGTTGAAGGGTATTTACTTTTACCTGGAATTTTAAAAGAATCTTCATGTTCCATTTTTTTCATTTATTTTCGTAGTGTTTGATTTTACAACTGCTAAGTTTTTTAAGTTTGAAATACTCTTAAAGCCTCAGACTTGTACAGACTGTGATATTCAACATATTGCAATGTCGATAACATTTTTTTTTTTTCCTCCCCCTGTGTACTACCTCAGACTATGCGTTCGTTCATATGGAGAAAGAAAGTGACGCTAGGGCAGCTATCGAAAATCTGAATGGAAAGGAGATAAAGGACAAAAGGATTAACGTGGAGATGTCAAATAAAGTATCAAGGCCTGTGAGCACTAATGGTAGTGCTCATAATCGCGCTCGTAGGCCTCATGATATTCGAGAAACCCCACAGAACCGCTCTGAGGCTTATAATCGTAGGAGGGCAGCTGAAGCAGCCTATGCATCCTTTGCGTTAAAATCACCTTATGAGCAGTATTCAGGTGATAATGCACGTTATGCTTTTGAAAGTAGGATGCGTCCACCTTCTCCGCTTTATTTTTCACGAGACAGAAGTCCCTTAAGAAGATCGCCTACAAGATCGCCCTATGGTCTTGCACAATCTGCTGCTTCACTTGCATCAAAATTCCGTGCTCCAGCATCTGGCTATGGTTCCTTACCATCTGCCTATGGGGATCAAACAAGTTCATCATTGTCTGCTGCCTACAGTAGTCAGTCGTCGTCTTTATCCGCTGCCTATGGAGCCCGAGCCAGTACACTTGCTTCTGCCTACAGCTCTCAAGGTGGATATGAAAACCAGTCCTCTGCTTATGGGACAGAAACACAACCTTCATATGGCTCGCAAAGTTCTACAGCTTATAGCACTCAAGGATCGACGCTGCCTGCCAGTTATGGGTCCCATCTAACTTCGATGGCGGCGTCTTACAGCTCTCAGACCTCGTCCAATCCTTATCAATCACATTCCGCCAGTACCCCATATGCGTCGTCCTCGGCACTGGCTAGTGCTTATCGTCCACAGCAGAGTTCCGCCTATGATGCTTCTCAGATGGCTGGCCTTGGAATGCAGTCTGCTTACTCGTCTCTGTCTACTCCAGTAGATGCGCCGATGTACGAGCGCACCCGTCTTTCACCGCCGCTAACCTCTGCTTCTGACAGCTACAAGAAGACGATGGACAATTATAAAAGGTATGTAGTTCAACTACTATGCAGACGCGTAGCAATACAGATATATGCTTATCTGGCTTAATCATTATTCGTTGTGGCAGAAATGCATAATCTTGTTTTGGGATTCCTGTGATTTGTGAGGTTAAGGTAACTACTAGGTCTGTGTTTTTTAAATAAGTAAATTTAATTAACAGTACCTGTATTGGGGAAACTTTTATACATTTCTGCTCTGAAGAGAATTTGTACCATACAGCCCCTTGCATATAATGATGTAATGTGCTCTGCAGCACACTACAATGCACATAAACCATTTAGATTTGTCCCTTTCCCATTTAATATCCAACAGTTGTGCTATCTGTAGGGCTAACTTTGCCCTCATAGGTTTTGCAATCATTCAAGGTTTAATATATGTAAAAATAAAGTCAAACTTTAATCTTAGATGGAGTTACTCATGCCAGGTAGCATTACTTGTACTCCAAAACTACATCTATAGGCAAGATCAAAAGTCTGTGTGCACACATTCGGCCACACCGTACATGCAATCCAGCGGCTGTGTAGCCACTGGATCGCTTGTATCTAAACAGCCATCGCCGGCTGTTTACAATGACCCCATGAACATGGCTGCAGCAGCTGTGTCCCTGGTAAAACCACTTCAGGACCAGGACATATTTAGACGGTGGGCGGTCCTAAAGCGATTAATCATCAGTCAGTTTAGGTATGTTTTAAAGAAGGTCAGGTTGTAGAAAAACCTACTTGCATAAAAAAAATTTCTAGGGGCACAAATAGATATACTCGCATGATCCTGTTACCGCTCACCTCTCTACCCCTTTCGCTCCAGCTGTGGTATGTCCCTTGTTGTCCTCAAGTCCAATACAGTTGAATGGGATGTATTGGACGTGATGACGTCAGTGGGGCTTAGACTGCCGGAGCCCAGAGAAGAGGAGGCTGTAGGTGCTGGTCGAGGATTGAGCATTTCTTTGAGCCCCTAGAGAAAAACTAGCATTTAATCCTTGCAGTGCAGGGGTAGCCCTACTGCATGGGTTACTTTTTATACAACCTGGAGTTCTTTAAAGTGGCCCCGCAATTCTACTTAATACTCGCACTAGGCATGATACTGCTCCTAGGTTCAATGCTTTATCCACCTCAGCTGTGGGTGCATGCCACCTCTGGTATTCAGCACTCCCCAAACAAACTTGCATAGTACGGATGTAAATCTGCATACTGCTTGTCTGAATAGCTTAAACTTTTTTGATCCAGCTTGAATGAGAACACGCCACCCACACCTACTGATGCACTTTGCCCCCAACTTGGGCTTAATCATAAAGCCCCTGGATCTCTATAGTTTTTAAGCTATTCAAACTAGTGCTATACGGCTTTGTTTGTGCTATGCATGTCACTAAATCTTATTTGTGAAATAAAAGCTATTCCTGCAGAGAAGAAATGTAAACCTCTCCTGTTGCCCAGGACTTCAAAAGCTTCTCCGGTGAAGAAAAACCACCACTTTTGGGATTGTTGATCTTGTCCCTTCTGCTGCCCCTATGTCATTACAGGACGGAACAGGTAAGTATTCATCTGCATTGCGGGGAGAGCTTTTGTTCAAACTTTGAGTTTAGTGACAGAGTTGCCTTTTGGGCTTGTGTACATGCCATTTGTGTCTTCTCATACAAGTAAGGGGTGGAAATTAAAAAAAAAAAAACTACTTGTCCATGGACTAAAGTGGGGGCCCGATCTACTTGTCCTTCATGACAATCCACTTGTACTGATACAAAAAAATAATCTGTATTTAGCAGTGCTAAGTCGTGCTTCTCATTGGTCAGCACCGTCAGGTGACCGCATTGACCAATGAGTGCTTGCAATTTGCGAGCAAAATTCAGAATACATGGTACAGATAGTACACCCTTGCTCGCGGATGGGAAGGACCATTCGCTGAAAGGCAAGTATAGCAGGGAAGGAGAATGGGCAAGGTTTGTGCGGGTAATTCCATTTTCCCAAAATGGGAATGCGAATTTACCCTTTAGGGCGGGTGCAGACTTGGGCGATTTGCCGTGTGGCCCCATTGATTTCCGTGCGGTTACAACTGCGTGATAATCGCTGAAAAAGGTACATGTACCTTTTTTCACGACATGCGTCGTGCAGTGTTTTCAACCGCGATTATGCGTGATTGCACAGGCGGTATTGGGGGCGGGAAACCGTAGAATCTGACGGGTGCCATTAGAAAATGTCACTGCCAGCGCAATTGGCGGTGGTGTGCGATTCTGTGACTGCCCGGCCATCTGCACGTTTGTCACGGATCGTCCGCTCACACACTGGCCTATGCATGTTTTTTTATTTGCACGCAGATGGTGGGTGCAGCGGGGTTGGTTTTTAATTTTTTTTTAAATGTTATTTTACTTTTTATTTTAACTTTGTAAACATTTTTAATTCTCATTTTATTTATCGCCTTTTTAATTTTTAACATTTCTATGCATTTACATTTTGAACTGTTATTTTTTATTTACTTTTTTTTTCTTTCACTTTGCTATCACACAGGCGCTAACAAGCCTGTGTGATAGCTTTTGGAGGTGACTGGTTCTCTGTATTGCCCATTTCACCACCAACACAGGGGTTCTAGCACAGCACTGTGCTCCTCCTGTGAGAGGAAGGGTGCGAGCATTCCTGTGTTATTGCTCACATGGAGCAGAGCAGAAAAGCGTTCTCTGCTCTGCGCTCTCTAACCTAATTTGCCGTGGAGAGAGCAGGGCACCCTGAAAACCACGGCAGAAAGGAAGCCAGCGGGCAGCGAGAGAGGCAGCCGAGAGCGGTACACAGCCACCGGAGGGGAGGGTGGAGAGGGAGAATCAGGCTAGATACAAGGTGATTTTGGCCGCTCAAGATCACCTGTTCAAAATGGCTACCACACTACATTTAACCCTGCTGCCTGCCCGCAGTAGGGCTAAAGGTAGACAAAAACTACGCGCCCGGAACTGCCTGAATTCCACATCCCTGCAAGTGAAGTAAGCAACTCATAGGTTAATCATAAGGGGCTCATAAGCAAGTGGTAGTAAGAGCAATTTTCCACAATGTATAAAGCAATTTGCTTTATGCTTGCTGTGTATGTGAACCTTAAAAGTGGATGAGGGATCTGAGGAGCCACCTCCCCTGAGTTGCATATACCATATTATTACTATTGCTGTACCACATTGTTTTTCCCACTTTATCCAAAATGAAAAATAGTTCAAAGAAAGCAGTTATAGGTTTATAAGATATTTTTTCATACAGAATGGCAAGATTTTAATGATTGACTAGACTGGTATATCAGCTGATAAATTGGCAACATATTCTTTTAAGAAATTAAGATCCTTTTCATACTATTTCATTACTGTAATGTGCATTGTAATGAAGTATATGTTCGAGTGCAGACACATGTCCAGGGGTATTGAATTAAATGGCTGGTCTGCACTTGGTGCTAATTTATTGTGGATGGCACCCAACACACAAAGTAGTGGTCAATGCACCCACACCGCAATGTATCACAAAACACATTTTGTGCATTATGCTGTGTGCGTTAACACACTGCTAGGGTCTCAAAGCTCTCAAGTAGGTTTTGATTAGGGCTGCAACAACTAATCGATTGAAAAAGTTGTCAACTTTTTCAATCATCGATAAATCGGCTTCCAATTGGTTGGCCCTGTTCACACCTCCTCCTCCCCACCTCACGCTCGCCGCTGCCACAACCGCCCGCATCCATGCTCCACACACCGCACCTCCTCCCTGCCCGCCCAAATCCACGATCGGCACAGGGACGCGGGGAGAAGAAGTAAGGAGGAGCAGGCATGGGCTGATGACAACCGCCGATAAGACAGGCCCGATCTCAGAAGCAAGTTGCTGGAAGACTGCACTTTCCCACACATGGTGCTCTATAATGTATTGCTGGGATTTGTATTCCTCTATAGCTGATGGTACATTGGGCTGTATATTATACATAGGAATACAAATCCCAGCAATACATTGTACACTGTATGTATAATGTATTGCTGGGATTTGTTGTATTCCTATATAGCTGGTGGTATTCTGCATTGCGCTGTATAGAGGACTACAAATCAAAGAATACATTATACACCGCAGTGCAGAATACCACCAGCTATAGAGGAGTACAACAAATCCCAGCAATAATACATTATACAGTGGTGCAATGCCAAATACCACTAGTTATAGAGGACTACAATGCCCAGCAATAGTACATTATACAGCGCAATGCAGAATACCGCCAGCTATAATGCACTATTGCTGGGATTTGTAGTCCTCTATAGTCGATTCCATTTTGCATTGATTGCTGTATAATTTTACACTTCATTTCACTATATTGCACACCACACTTTTTTACTTCCACCGCTCCAAGCTTGCTCTTGTGATGGGCTGCAATCTCAATACCAACTAGTAGTCCCATCACTGGAGCCATTTTTTAAAATAAAATTTATTTTTTTATCCGATTAATCGAACTTAATAATCGGCTAATCGATTTTGAAAATAATCGTTCGCTGCAACTCTAGTTTTGACTATAGAAAGGTTTATGTACGATGGGGGGAGATAATGCAGGGAATAGGAATATAGATCTATATATTTCTATCTATATCATTTTTTGTGGAATTGGAGATTATCTCTATCTCTGTAGTTACAGGAGCACTGCAGGATCATGTTAACTTGCTTTTCTTTTAAATTGGGTTGTTCACCTGCTGAAAAGCCACAAGTGAAAAATGCAATGACTTCAACTTTTTCCTTTTTGATGAACAAAGTGATATCACGTGATGTGCCCTTTTTTAGGCTGTTGCTATGATCTTGGTGTGGGCTGCCAGGGGAAACCATTGAAGTGAATGACCTAGCACAGCTTAACAAATAGCACAGAACTTTGGGTCTCGCACAACATGATGCCCCATTTTTAACTTTTTAAACCTTGCGGTTGGAGGTGGTGATTGGCAGGCTGTTCAAAATGCTTCGGAGGCCCAGATGTGTTTTGATTGTGAAACAAAAACCTGCTACCAGAACTCTCACACAGGGAACAAACTCCACTTAATAAAGCCAATATCTACTGCTTGAAGATACCAACCGATGCTCACTATTGCGTTTTTCAGTAGTTTTTCAGGCTTCATAAGTCATGTTTATTTTAGGGCAAGGCTCAAAATTTCAAGTCCTAAGCTACTAGGGCAACTCAGATTAATAATGTCCAAAAGATGTGGACTGGGAGGGGGGGCTCTTTAAGAATGCTCTGATCACACCGCTGAACAATCGCCTCTTCTCCCGACCGCTCCAGCTCCAGGAAGCGGGCACTCAGAGAGGCAGCTACGATCACACATGTCAGCGTTCCCTCTCTCTGCTCCCGGCCGCTGCAGCTTCAGAGCGGCCAGAAGGAGAGAGGGAGCGATACCGGGTGTAATCAGAGCCGCCTCTGAGTGGAGCTCAAGCGGCCGGGACGAAAGAGAGGGAGCGCAGGGAGCTCGCTCTGGATGGCACACTACCGCCGCGGCAAGCGTTCTCTTTCTCGGGCTCGGCTGCTCTGTAGCTGGCGAGAAAGAGAAGAGAAAACAAAAGCGAGTGATTGCCGCGGCGGTAGTGTCCCGTCGGCGAGGCACCATTGTTGGCATTCCACTCGCCCCCCACAATTTTCACTCACCAATTGCGAGGGGGCGAGGAGGCCTGTTTTAGGGTATATATTAGATACAGATTTATATATATATAGATTCAATTTACTGTAATCTCGGGTGCCTTACGCTTAATTTTTTAATGTGGGATGTTAATTACAGTAGGGCTGCAACTAATTTTCATATTTGATTAGTTGGCCGATTAAAAAAAAATTTTTTTTTGATCGGATAAAAAAAAATTAAATACCGTCCATTTAAAATAAAGTTCACAAATGCAGTGTTACAAACATAGTTTACTTCAGAATAAAACTGCACGCACAATTGTTCTGCAATCGCACTGCACTGGTGCACATGTCATTGCGGTACCATGCGTTCCAGTGTGGTCAATCACGCATTGAAATGAATGGCACTGCAACGCACCTCCCACTGCAGAATTTGTGCTTGAATAGCTTCAGCCATGGAATGACAGCTGCCAGTGGCAAGATTCCGTAGACGGCAGCTGTATGTAAGTACAGCAGGTAGTGGGCTGGTGCAATAGCCAGCCTACTATTGGCCATTTCAAATTGCAATAGCAGGCTGGCTATTGCACTCCCCCACTGCTTGCTGTACCCTTCTCCCAGCTAGGGGATCGAACCAACTAATCGATGAGAATTGACAACTATTCTCATTATTGATTAGTTGGTTGCAGCCCTAAACTACATTTCGATCTCCACTGTGAGATTCCTCCTGGTTCAGTCACTTTTCTGCCCCACTGATCTTTGGTTTAGCCATATTCCTGCCCCGTTTGCTTTTTTTCTCACTCTTGGTCTGTTCATATCTGTCACTTGTGATCTGTAGTCCATGTTCACAAGATTCCCCCTCTGTTCTGGTGACCATTTGCATGGAGTCAGATGATTTGAAATTCATAATCGTACAGTTGCAAGTAGTGAGGGGAAAATCGTCCAGTTGGGTCACATGTTCGGATGACAGCTGTCTAAGCTGGGAAATCCATTTCTTTTCAAGGGATTACTATTCAGTTCCTGTTGCATGTTAGGAAAGGAACTGAGGGTGAACTCTCCCCAGCAGGACGTATAGGTTTTGTCTTAGATTTTAAAAAAATGTACACACCTGACCTTACATTTAGTGGACTCTTAACGCTTTTCCTAAATAAATATTTACACATTTTTGGGCTTTGCCTTGTCTGCGGTGGCAGGTATGAAGGTTTGTAGCTTGGTCTCTGTAGCCTCCTTTTAAAATCGAAGGAATTCAATATTTCAATTTGGTATATTAAGTCTTTCACTCTTTTGTACAGCCTTGATGTGTTTCTTAATAGAAGTTTGGCCGCGTTGTTTTTCATTAAAACTTCCTTTTGTGTTTCGACAGCAGGCTTGCTTCTGACCGCCGTTATTCAGAATTAGCTGACTATCGCCGTTTATCACAGGAGTCGCAGGATCCTTTCCGCCGGTCGCCACCCAAATCTCAGCTGGACTTCCGTCGCATGACTGAAACACAGTCCGATTACCCTTACAGTGATTTCATGAGAGGGCCATCGCTATCTGGCTATCCGCGCCGTTTGTAATAACATTGAAGGGTGGTTGGAAACGTGTGTAGATTGAGGTCTTTCTGTGTGGGTAAAATACAGAAAATTCTGGGTTTCTAATTAAGGCTTTTTTGTCTGTATAACTGTTTTAAAATGCATTGAAATCTAATTAGTTAATGGTTTATATATAATGCATAAATCACATTGAGCGTTTTAATTTAACATTTTTACACAATACATTTTTGAAGTATTCACATGTCAGCATAGAGTCACTTGTATAGAATGTCATATCTGCTAAGAGTTGCTATAGTTTTCAATGTCCCTTTTGTTGAAGTATCACCTCTTTGCTGCTCACTGGGCACGGAAGAGGTGGCATTTGAACAAATAGGCAGCCGGAAAGCGAAGTATGGTGACTTTTCTTCTAGCAGATACTTAATTCCATATATTTAATGCCTGTCTGAACTATAGTCCAGGGTTCTTGTGCAAACAAGATGTTTATCCAAGAAGTTAACCCCTTGCTGGCAGTAGCCACAGCTAAAATTGACAACCGCTAGACTTGCAAGACACCAACAAGGAGTTCAATCTCTTGTTCACTAATGATTGACTGTCATCTGTTGTATCAGTCTTGGCTAAAATAAGTTACTGCACATGCTAAAATTTGAGCTTCCTTTTAAATCTCTACCTAAAGGGATTCCATTGAGTAAACATTTCAGCCTAGATTGCACAGCAGTGGAAATTGAAGTATTTATTGAACCCCCACTTAGATTATACAGTTCTTTTAGTTTTGAAGATCTCTTATGCTTTTGCTTTTTGTTAGACAAGTCTGTGAACCGTAAACAGTATGTGGTAACTGAAGAGTATGTAAGTTGGAATACTCTGGCCTATGTCAAGGACTGCAGTTATTGTAAAATTGTTGGCAGAGTTGCATAACATTGGGTTACCGTTTAACACAAGGCTTTAAGGTTCAACATGCGTTTTAGATGTGCTTGGAACGTGGAAGATAAGATGGTGGTCACCAGACCAGGAATGCTGCAGATTAGTTTTATAATGCATAATTTATCTGGTGTAAACGGCTCCAGATCTTTTTCTTTTCTTTGAAACCACATACTGCATTTTTTTGTACTGGAAATGCCAGTTGCATTTTGTGTAATGTTTTTTGCTAGATCCCTGCCAGCTTTGAGCACCAGTATTTGATTCATCCAGCTATGGATGGGTTTTAGGCAGGTCTCAGAGGCTTGCAGTACTCGTGTAAAACGTTCATACCTTTTTGGTATTTTAAGTATAGCAATGTCTTTTAGTATGTTTTTCATTGGATGTAAATCCTAAGTGGAGTTGCAATAAGTATGTAACTAGTCAGGAGACAATTACTTCAATTTGTTATGTATTTTGTGCTACATATTGTGGAGCACAGAATTAAAGAATACAGTATCTATACAAATTCTATAAAACGTTTTTCCTACCCTTTCATTTTACATGTTTGCAACCTTTTTTTTCTGCATGTGTTAATGACCTTAAAAACACACCTTTTTTGTATTTTTGGTAAAGGAAAAAAAAATAAACGTTTCATTGCCGTATTAAACTGGAACTATTGATTTATTTATATTTTGCATTTTTTTTGCTGTTAAGACTTGAAATCCCAAAACGGGTAGATAAAAACAAAGAGAAGCTACATGGCCACCTTTTAGTCCTGCATTGGGATAGCTAAGATGAGCCAAAGGGACCAGAAGAGTGCTGGCTGCTGTGGAAGCAAGCAAAAAAGTGCAATATAGTCTACATGGGGGGGCGGTGGTTCAACAACCCCGTGAAGTGAGTGCGTGTAGACAGAAGTATTAAAACAAAGCGTATAAGTGCAATGCTAAATAATCCCTATATATCTATTGAGTGCAATGTGTAAAAAAGGGCATTACCTCCCCATATGTTCATCAAAGCTCACAAAGAATATAAACAAAGGGTTAGTGCTGCACCCAATTTTTATAATTGTCTACATGCACTCACTACACTGCCGGCAACCAATTACTGCGCTGTACTGGCTTCCTGATGGTCACAATTGTGGACCATACTTGTGATTCATCTTGGTACAGCTGCTTGTAATCATAAAGATTGTAAGTGACAACACAGGAGCACAGTTGTCGCTACATAAGCCGTGCCCAAACAATAGCCTACTGGCAGTATCACCAGGTGTTAAAAAGATAGAGCTGCAACAATTCGATTAAGTAGATTAAAATCGACGATTGGAAAACGTCAACGTTTTCCATCATCGATTCGTCGGCTATCAATTAGCCTGTTCGCGGCTCCATACACAAGCCGTACGCCACCGCACACGCGCTGAGCCGGACACGCCCGCAGAGCACGAGAAGCCAGAGCTTCCTTGCCGCCAACGCAGCGACTTACAAGGGTTCAGAAATGGGGACCTGTTTTAATGTTTCCTGTTTAAAAAAAAAAAAAGCGTCACACTGCAGAACACCAGCAGCTATAGAGGAACTTCACGTCTCAGCAATAGTACATTAAACAGCCTGTATAATGTATTATTGCTGGGATTTGTTGTTCCTCTATAGCTGCTGGTGTTCTGCAGTGTGCTGCTGTATTATACATTGGTATTCTGCATTGTATATGGTATACATTGTAGCATTGTATTATACCATATGTATAATACAGCGGCACACTGCAGAACACCAGCAGCTATAGAGGAACACCAAATCCCAGCAATGATACATTAAGCAGCCTGTATAATGTATTGCTGGGATTTGTTGTTCCTCTATAACTGGTCAGTGGTATTCTGCAATGCGCCGTATAATCATTATACAGTACAGCACAATGCAGAATACCACGAGCTTTAGAGGACTACAAATCCCAGCAATAATACATTATATACAGCACAATGCAGCTACAGAGGACTACAAATCCCAGCAATAGTACATTATAGTATAATGTACTATTGCTGGCATTTGTTGCATTCCTCTGCATTGTGCCGTATAATCATACAGCGTGTTGCAGAATAACACCAGCTACATAGTATTTGAGGTTGAATAAAGACATTAGTCCATCAAGTCCAACCTATTAGTATCTCATTCTAAGAGTACCCGTACCCCTGTATATTACGGTCCCTTAAGAAATCGTCCAAAAGTTTCTTGAACAATTCCACATTATTTGCTGAAATCACCACCTGTGGCAGTGAGTTCCAGACCCTAACTGATCTTACTGTGAAGAATCCCCTTCGCCCTTTGTGCTGGAATTTTTTTTCCACCAATTTTAGGTGATGGCCTCTAGTTTTTGTAACGGAGTAGATAGGGCTACAAATCCCAGCAATAATACATTATACAGCGCACTGCAGAGTAACGCTAGCTACAGAGTACTACAAATCCCAGCAATAATACATCATAGTGTACTATTGCTGCAATGTGTTGTATTCTTCTATAGTTGCTGGTATTCTCCATTGCACCGCTGTATAATGTATTATATGGTACACCACACTTTTTTCTCTCCGCCGCTCCAAGCTTGCTCCTGTGATGTTCTACAATTTCAATACAAACTAGTAGTCCATCACTGGAGCCTTTTTTTTTTTTTTTTTACCGATTAATCGAACTTAATCGGCTAACTAATTGATTTTGAAAATAATCGTTAGCTGCAGCCCTATTGAAAAGTTAATTCCACTTTCCCTGGTGAAATTTGGGAAGATAAAATTACCCTCACCAATCTGCTCCCTCTCTTCCAAGATTTTTTTTTTTTTGGAAACATGTTATACAAGCATGAATAAAACACCCATTTTTATGCTATGTCAAATATTACCACCTTGTTTGTGCCATATAGCAGCAACATGAATTTTGGTGATACAGAAACATCTTTTATACTGTATATGCCATTATAGGACATGCAGTAATGGAAGGTCACGCAACCCACTTCTCAGCTAGGTCTGTTTCATCAGAAAGACCTCTATTTCCATCTGTAAAAACCATGTAAGAATATTGTAAGATATAGGAGCACAATGTACACGATAAATGTCAAAACAAGCATTGCTATACATGCATCAGAGGAGTGTTCAAATGGTCAAAAATACTCAAGCTTGAGCTGTTAGAAGTTTCTATGGAGGAGCATGGGGACACCGAAATACAAGTCCAACCACCAAGATTCCTGTGACAGGACTACACTCGCTGTAGAGAGATCTAATGCTTCAACTGAGCCCATCAAACTAAGAGTACACAGACCGATTATATCAAATTGAGGAACGTTATCTTTATAGAATATGCTGCCACACTTGGATATCTTGTAAAGTTATAAAATGATAGTTGATACATAATAAATGAAGACTTAAACAGACTGACTTAGGTACCCACACAACCAATTATGTTCTTTACTATAGATACAAATTGCAGTCGCATTTGTGTCCCCGTACACCCACCCAGGTGTGTGATTCTCTGGCATACTCGGATGGATGATATTAGACATTGAATCATGGTTTAATCCAAATGGACATACTCTTGTACGTACTCTAGTACAGGCCTCAAAATTTCCACTCGCCCCCTCGCAATTGGCGAGTGAAAATTGCGTGGGGGCGAGTGGAATCTCATCGAGGTGCGCCGCCGGCGGGACCAGAGATGGGAGATTACCGCCGTGGCGATTGCTCGCTTCTGTTCTCTCTTCTCATCGGCCGCTGCAGCTACAAAGCGGCGGAGAAGAGAGAACAGAAGTGAACGATCGCAGCAGCGGTAGTGTCCCATCTCTGGTCCCACCGGCGGCGCATCTCGATAACATTCAGTTCTGTCTTCTGCAGCTTCCTCCGCTGCCAGGCTGGGAGGAAGACTGCAGAGACAGTGAGACCGGCCATCCAGAAAGTTATGCAGCAGGGGAAAAGAAGATACATGGAGGATCTCTGCACCGCCCTCCAAACCCCCACCACCACGAGAAAGAAGAGGCATCTGAATACCAGCTAAGTGCACTGTAAGTCCCTTTTCTTCCTTACACTGTGCGTCACACTGACACCCCCTCCCACCCCAGAACGTTGCCTGGCTTGATCTATGTGATCCAGTGTGTTCCCGGGCTCA